TTACTAACCGTATTAAGTTTTTATTAATTTAAAAAATTTAATTAATTATTTAAATTAAATAAGTTTTAAAGATAATTTTTTTATTTGCGAAAATACATTTACTTTTTCAAATTTTAAAACATATGAGTATCTTTTTATACAACTTCATTGTGACTTTATGTTTACGTCATTTTTTACGGGACATTGCACGAGTACAAATATTAGTTTTTTTTTTTTACAGATCTCTTAGAAGCAGGGGGCCCGAGGCCCGTTAACCTCGTGTCCATCCCGGGGCCCGTTAACCGCCGGGGTAGGAAGCCCACTATAGAGCCACTCCTGGTAGCCTTCCCAGGGGGTCACCCATCTTCTCACTACTCCAGCAGCAGCACGCTTAACTTTTCTAAAATTCTCCCCGCTTAAGGTTTAGACCATCTCACCAGGTGGAATCCTTATTAGTTATATATATATATATATACACACACACACACACACACACACACACACACATATATACATACATACATACATACATATATATATATATATATATATATATATATATTATTTTTTGAATTTAAATATTTAAAAAATCAATTTTATCTTATAGTGTTGGTTTAAGTTAATTATTTAAAAGATATTTTAAATGTAATATAGCAATATTTGCTTGAGTTAATAATTTAAAAGTTATTTTAAAATTAATTTATAATTTTAATTTAAGTCAAATATTTAAAAATTTGTTGTAGTAAGTTGGCGAAATGACGTACGTACACCTCCGCTTGTAGTAGGAAAAATATGAAATAAATGGAATCTGATGTGACGGTGATGTGTAAGAGAGAGATGATGCAGTAAAAAAGTATAAAAAGTTTGTATACCTTCCACCCTAAGAGTGATTGTAATTGGTGAGTTTTTTTTTATGTAAGTTTAAACCCAGAAGGCTAGCTTTAACCACTACAAAGCTGAAAACTGCTCCTGGGTACCTCCTATTTTGAGAAATTAACTGTTGGGCACCTCATATTTTTAAAATATACTTCGAGGCACCCTCTATTTTGAGAAACTAACTTCCGGATGCCTAAAATTTTTAAAATATACTCTGTGTATCTCCAAAATACATTAACTTATTACCCGTGAGGGACATTTTGTCCCACTATCTATCAAAGCCATTTACGCCATTAATTTTAAGAAATAGGGGTTTGGAATTCAAAAAGTAACCTTGGTTCTTATACTTTAAGGATATAATCAATCCAGTTTAATCAAAGATTTCGAATAAAACGAAATGTCCCTCACGGTTAAGTTAATATACATTTGGAAGTAACCCAGAGTATATTTTAAAAATGTGAGTTATCCTACAGTTAATTTCTCAAAATAGATAATACCCTATAGTATATTTTAAAAATATGAGATACCTGCCAGTTAATTTCTCAAGATAGGGGTATGCATGAGGAGTTTTTTTTATTACAAAGTGGTGATGTTACAAAATTTTGTAAATTTTGCTTTGAAACTAAAGAGTTAGATTTGTGAGGGAATAATGGTCTCCACTGGTTGGCCATGTGTGTAGCAATTGTCCCATGGCGGAGGCTATGTGGGCCAAATCACAATCGAATGTCGTGTGCGCTTGTGTATTGAATGCACTATAAGACTAGGGTATGCACCTCTTCTAACACCAATTGGTTTTAGAAGAGTTGGTAGCGCCTGAGGTCCTAAATCCACTATCACATTTCTCTAACTTTTTCCCTTTTTTAGCTATTACATCAATAAGTTATAAATATATATGGAGTATTTTTTATTTTAATTAAAACAAACTTATCTATATATCTATATCTATATACTATTTTTAAAAGCGAGGGAAATTGTGCCAACGTTTTTCTCGCCATAACATTCATTTAAAAATGGTAAGAACTTAAATAGCCTTGAAATATTTATTTGGTAATATAATACCTTTTATGCATTTAATTATATAAAATATTGTTACATTATTACCTTATATAGCTTTTATTTAATGTCAATTTAATCACGGAAACATTTTTCAAAAATATACTTTTTATACATTTAGTTATACTTTTTTTTTACATTATTACCTTATATAGCTTTTATTTAATGTGGACTTAATTATATAAACATTTTTAAAGTAATATATTAACTTTTATGGAGGAAATATTTTTTTGTTAGGCATGTATTATGTTGAAATAGTAATAGAAATGTAATAATAGTAAGGATTGAAATCGTGTTAAAATAGTGTTTTGTTATGAAAAAATATATGTACATTAATATAACTTTGATTATAAAAAATTTTTATCTTTTAAAAATTTTACGCTTGAAAAGTTATTCTTGAGATTCAATTAAAGAGAATTTAAATTTTTAAGGAGGAAATTTATTATTCGGTACATTATTACCTTTTACGAAAAATTTTACGTTTGACAAGTTAATAACTATATTATTACCTTTTTAAGGAGAACATTAATTTCTATTACCTTTTATGAAAAATCTGATAATAAACTAAAATATACATCAATACACCAAATATAAATAATAAATAATGTCAATTAACAACGTACGGTTGATATTTTTATGACAGACATATATTATTTCCAAATAATAACAAAAATACTAAGCTCATAATAGTATAAATTGAAATTAAGTAGAAATAGTGTTTCATTATGGAAGTTTTTTAATATTTTATTATCTTATGTAGCTTTTATATAATGTCAATTTAAATATGAAAATATTTTTATAGTTTTTAAAATTTTACGGTTGACAGAAGAAAAATTAAATACCATACATTATTACCATTTACTAGCTTTTACCATTTAATATTTCCACAAGCAAACACTATTTCAAGGCTATCTAAATACTTACCATTTTAAATGAGTATTTTTATTACCATGCCTAACATAATACATGCCTAATAGAAATATTACTATTTTATTGTACATTTAGTGTACATTTATTAGTAATTATGGTACATAATGTCATTTTTTATAATGAATATTTTTGCACGTCTATTTCCTTTTCAAATCCCTTCTTGCCTATATAAATATTCACTCTATCTGTGATTACTGTCATCTATTAATTTTTAGTTTCTACCCAAGTTTAAAAATAAATTTAATACTCAAATTTTAAAATTCATTTCAGACGTTGGATTGTCAGAATTTTTTTATAGAAATAATATAATGTGTTATTCAACTTTAAAGTATTTTTAAATCATAAAAATGATCCAAATTTTAAATGACTATAATATTTAAATGCAATCAATAAAAATTGATATCTTGCATTTGCTTTTTTAATGTATTTGTTTCTAATTTCTAACACATTGTAATTGTTCAAATTGATATTTTATAATCTAATTGATTTATAATATTATCAAATTTTATGCAATTTTTTTAGTTTTAAATTTTCTTTATTTATTACTATATATTTGTTTTTGTATAAGTGATTGCTGCATATTTTTATTTCATTATTTACTAAATACTCATTTTGTACCATTAGTTGTACTAATCATGTGGAGTTTTTTTAATAGGGGTAGCAATGTAATTCACAAAAAAGGTTTTCAAACTTCAAGTTTCATTAAATATTCCGGAGTATATTTTGATTTAATAATCTACAGAGTATTTGTTGTTAATTGCACCTTTTTCAACATTAACATAATTAGACAATTTCATATTTGAAATGTTAGCCGTGCAACGCATGGGGTGATACTAGTTTTATTTAATTTAAGTATAATAATTTATTTTGTTTATATTAATTAAATGTATGTAAATATTTTGTTAAAATTGGTGTTGTAAATTTATTGTTTTATAGGAATGACTTTAAAAGAATCAAGTGATTTGCCATAAAATCCTCGAGTCATGGCCTAGGCTCGTTTTTTTAGGATAAAACTATTTGTATCCCAAGAATTTTTACCTCATTTTGTACACCGCAGAGATGCACCAACATAATCTATGTCAGTATGAAACATGAAAATATTGGTGTATATTTTTGGTGTAGTGTACAAATGAGATAGAAATTTTTGGGTACAAATTTTGGGGTAAATGTAGCCGATTTCTTTTTTTAAGCAAAGAAGATGAAAAGACCAGTTTTACCATCCAAAGAGCAAGTGCAAAATTTGAATGTTTAAAGAATTCAAAATTCAAAGCGAGTCCTGACATTTATCAACTAACGCCTACCTGCGCTGCGATTATGGATGCTGGGGAACCGGTTGTCATCTACATCAGCTCAGATGAAGATGAAGAGGAAGAAGACTCCACCGAGTCCGACACCGCCTCCGGCGACGGAGGAGAAGGAGGGGCTGAAACCAGCGATGATTCCGATTGTGTCATTCTAGAAGAAGACCCTTTTAAGCCGAATGAAGAACTGAGCGAAATAGCAAGCGATGATTCCGACGATGTGCTCGTGACTGGCGTAAAGGGTCAGGTACTTATCGAGTCCTAATCTCTTTAATCAGAATTTCAAGACATTAATTAAGGGAATGGAAATGATTAACAATATTTTGTATAATTTGTAGTACTTGCTATGTTGTAGGAAATTGAAATCGCACTTGGCCTCATTAGGTGTTACGGGACTTATTATTATTATTATTATTATTATTATTATTATTATTATTATTATTATTATTATTATTATTATTATTATTATTATTATTATTATTATTATTATTATGGTAAGGAATTATTTATAGTTAGTTATTTATTGTTAGGGAATAATATATTTGTTAGGTGATTATTTAGTTTTCTAGTTTATTTAGTTACCTTTATAATTAGGATTCTTAATTTATTTAGTTACCTTTATAATTAGGATTCTTAATTTATTGGTGCTTTCATTCTCGAACTCGCCCAAAAAATACAAAAAAAAAATCTACGGCACACGCAATGGATTCTCTGTTGGACAAAGTTCTTGGTTTACTCGAGAAAGTTCTACGGGGACAAATTGAATTTTATGAAGGCGTGTGTGCAGTTGAAGATTCCGTTGATGAAATTATAAAGAAACTTCAGGCATTCCGTCCAATTGAAAGTCAACCAAAATTTGATTCCGAGGTATATGCGTTCTCCGTAGAGGCCTTTTGCTCAATACAGAATTTAGTTCGTGGTCTCCCAATTATGCCGAGCGTGATTCCTATAGAGTTATACATTTTCAAAACAACCATGATGCGCTTTATAAAGAAACTCATCGGCACTCCACGAGATCCGGCCCCTACAGTACCTGTGCAGAACACAACTTTACAAGACCAGGAATTTGAAAAGGAAATTCTTATTGATCCTGTTGGTGTTCCTGATGATGATCTTATTATTGATCACATAGATGTTGTTCCTATTACCGTTGCTGATATTGTTGTTGCTGTTTCTGGTGACGATCAACGAAACCACACACTCCAAGAAAAATATTCAAGAGATGGTGTCATTTTTTATGGATGCACGGAAACTTTTGGGACGTCAGGAAGTGACGTTGTTGCCCTTTATAATTCCGAGGATGTTGCACGTGATTGCATAATATTCCTACTCTTGGTTGCCCGGAACTGTTTACTTGACAGTGGGAATGTTTTAGGCGTGACTCGTTCTTTTGGTGCTCCAAGGATCAAGGTGTTTGACCCCGGAGGATGGACGATGAACGGTGCAATTTTTTCCCGTTCATTATTTGATTTCCAACTTGAGGACAAGTTGGTTTTCGAGGCGTGAGGAGTGTTACGGGACTTATTATTATTATTATTATTATTATTATTATTATTATTATTATTATTATTATTATTATTATTATTATTATTATTATGGTAAGGAATTATTTATAGTTAGTTATTTATTGTTAGGGAATAATATATTTGTTAGGTGATTATTTAGTTTTCTAGTTTATTTAGTTACCTTTATAATTAGGATTCTTAATTTATTTAGTTACCTTTATAATTAGGAGTGTTACGGGACTTATTATTATTATTATTATTATTATTATTATTATTATTATTATTATGGTAAGGAATTATTTATAGTTAGTTATTTATTGTTAGGGAATAATATATTTGTTAGGTGATTATTTAGTTTTCTAGTTTATTTAGTTACCTTTATAATTAGGATTCTTAATTTATTTAGTTACCATTTATTATTGAGATTCTCTAGAGTTGGAGCCTATAAATGTATCCATTAGACCATCACCATAGTATTATCAATGAATGAATAAAGAAAATACTTTCTACTAAACCTTAATCTCTCTCTTTCTCACTTCTTTTGTTCTTGGAGCTCGAAGGTGCTCGAAATTCTTCCCTATCCCGATACGATACCGTATCATTAGGGTATCATCATTTTCAAAAATATATGGAGTTAGTATTTACTGGTCATTTTTTGGTAATGAACTACTTTTTCTCGAGTTTTTGCTTCAGAAAAAAAGAGGTATTTTTACGTCATTTATCCCTGAGGTATTCATATAGTGCATGTTTAAAAAATACACCACTAGTCCCTATATTTTTAATAAAGCGTGTGTTTTACCGACGAACTCTTTAAAAAGTACATGTTTTCTCCTCGAACTTTTCGAAGTGCACCATTAATCCATATACTTTTCATAAAATGTGTGATTTGCCACTGAACACTCAGAAATACACTATTAGTCCTATTTTGAAAGTTCAGGGGAGAACATGCAATTTTGAAAGTTTAGGGGGGGGGGGGGAATGCACTATTGAAAGTTTGGAGGGAAAACATGAACTTTTTAAGGAGTTCAGGGGTAAAGTGCACACTTTATTAAAAAGTATAGGGGACTAATGGAGCATTTGTGGAAGTTCAGAGGGAAAATATGCAATTTATGAAGAGTTCATACGAAAATGGCGCAAAAGATCTCTGATAAAACAATGAATTTATCAATGATTTATCCATAGTCCCTAATGTTACTTGAAATTATTTGTGTTTTTTTTTGAACTCTTGAGCTTGGAAAATTTTACTATCCTCTGGAAAGTTGAAAATTTTGGGATATTTTCATCATTGGGCATCTTCAATGAGTAAAAGCTGAGGCTAAATTAGTAAATTTGTTTAGCTACTAAGCATGAAATGCTGATTTTTTACAAAATAGAGGGAAAAAAGGCATTTTTGATGATTTGTTCTCTAAGCTGCAGTTGTCATGGCTATTTGTTAGGAATGAAATATTATCTTCTGATTCCCTTTCCACTTTGCAGGCTGTTGTTGCTTGTAGAGATTATCCCCATCCTAGGCATCTTTGTGTTAAATTTCCCTTTGACACTACATCGCGGGAAATTCACTGTGACCAGGTAACTCGTTCCCTCAATTTGGTTTTCGAATAAATTTCGATCCTTGATAGATGGGGTTTTTGACAACAAGCTTATTGTTTTTTCGACGATTCCTTGTGTTGCTTTTATAACAGTGCCATTGCTATGTCTGTGAGACACTTGCTCCATGTGTCTACTGGAGAAGCGACGAGACTTTAAGCCACTGCCATGCCACCGATAAGATCAAGCATTGGAAAACACTTAGAGAAACTAAGAAGAATGAGATTGTTCTTCGGTTAAATAACCTCAACCTCGGCGATTCCAAATCTCAACCATCTTGAACTCCTCCCCGCTTTAGATTCCTCTCGTGCTCACCTGATATAATAGAACTTCTATTATATGGAAATAGACAACCAAAACTCAACCCATGATTCATCCACCCTTTAGCTTCTCCTCATCCCAAATTGCTCTCCTCCAAAGCTATAAGGGAAGGGAAGGGACCAATGTGAGGGCAAAGGTGCTCAGTGGTTTATTAGGTGAATTTGGAGAAGATGAGAAGAACAATCTACTCCATCAGTCTCCAATTGAGAGGCTAATTTGAAGATGGGATGAAGGGCTAATGAGAGTATTTGATACTAGTATAGATGACCCCTTAAGATGGGGTTTTTTTTTGCTCACGAGTCATGAACATACTTTGTAATTAAGGTTATGCTAAGACCAACTGATTGACTTTGTTTTTTGATTGTCTCTTATCTATTAGTTGGTCAATGTTATCTTTATGCATAATGTCTTACAACTTGCTTGTATGAGTAAAAGTGTAATGCCCATATACATATGGACTTAATGGGAAAATTAGAGAATAATGTCCAAGGACCTTGGTCGATCTAATGACTCCTCCATTTGTCTTGTCAACTAAAATGCAAATGTGTATAATGACAAAATAATTATACTTTACAAATGACCTCTGAGGATCTAAGGATTTATTATAAGAGTTCAATGCCAAAAACTCAAAAAACAGTTGTGTGTCATGTATAGGACATTGAAAACAATTATCAAAATTCAAAAGAAGACTGGTGCCAATTAAGTGTGTTTTATTTAAGCCTTCAAGGTAATTGTTACAAAGACATGAAGACATTACATAATGATCATGGAAGATTTATGAACAATATATATGTGCAATATATGATAAATGAAAAGACCTATACAAGGGCCATATAGTTGGATTGAGTCAAAGACCATGATAAAGAAAACATAATGTATGCACTATTTTTGGATAATAAGTATGCATTTAGGCGGTGTTCCGTTCGCCTGATCTGATCTCCCATCTAATGTGATTGGATATGATCTGATCTGAACTGATTGGATCTGATTGGACTAGATTTGATTTGATTGGATCTGATCTGATCTAATCTAGTCCGGTCTGATCTGATCTGATTGGTAACTCTAACAAGAGAATAAGTAGTAATAAACCATATAGGCACAAACATAATCATACTTGTACTTAACGTACATGTAACACAAAACGATTTAATCCAAATGATCATATGATTGCATGATGCATGAGTTAGCCGTGCAGGGACTCCCTACGCTCCGATATCATTCCACGAAGGTGATGACTCGGGCAAACCTTATTCTCTTAACGAGACTAGAAATAATGGGTAGTAACCAGACCCCGATTACCATGTACGTACACAAAGCCCCCGAATGAAACCCGTTGGACCCGAGGGCTCCTGGACGGGCCCGCACTAAGAGGCGCACTAGACCTGACCCCTTAGGCGATATGACGTGACATGAATGAATCCTATGACATGCGTCTATGACATGCGTAATGATATGAATTAAGATACAAAACTTTGGAAATAACCAAGAATACATCATTCATATAACATACTGTGTGGGATAAAAAGAGACATACTTAGATAAGAATTTTAAGTTCAAAAGAAGTTTCTGTCCAGTTTTTCGGGTACCGTGACGGTCGATCGTTCCTACTGGCTGTCGACCATTTGGTCACTACGATTTGGGACTGAGTCTCCAGCGGTTGACTATTCCCCAGACTACCGTATCTAGGCCTGGACGGTTGAGATGGTGAGCCGCGGAAGAGCAAAACAGTCACTATCCCCGTCGACAGTCGACCGTGACCGTGGCAGTTGCCCGGGCACCGTGAACGGTCCACCGCCCTTGACAGCGGTCGACCGTCCTAATGGCAGCGACGATCAGTGGTACGTTCTAGCGTCCATTTTACTTCCTTTTGGTCTTATTTTCATTAATTTATGAACATGGAGACTAAAACATATATTTCTTAAGGTTCATAGATAATTTCTAACCAAATTCGTGGATTCATAGATTGTAACGAATAATAAACAAGTTTTGGATTATGGCGTAGATTATGAACAAATAATCCTATGGATGTAACTATATCAAATACAACTATGAATTCTACTACTAGAGGGGCAACATACTCACCTCTAGAACGTGGCATCGATAGACGAAGATGATACGAACGGTGGTATTGTCTCACGAACGTTCAACGTACGAACTCTCTTCCTCCTCCTTCTTCTCTTCCTCTCCTTCTCTTCCAAGCCCCTGTCCTACTCCTCTTCCTCCGCTACTACTCCACCGTTCCCCAAGAGGAAGAAGATGGGAGTTGGATGGTTTAGTGTGAAGTGTTTGGTGGAGAAAACAAGAAGGAAGGGAGGGGAGTGGATGGTTTATTAAAGGAGAAGGAAAGAGGGAGTGAATGTGAGAGGGAGGGGGATGGACCAAAAATTACATGGGAAATAGAGGGAGAGTTTTCAAGGTTACTTTGTAAATAAAAATCTAACCTGAACGGTACATGCTTTTCCCCCAGGCCCAAACTACTCCGAATAAAAAACCGTTTGCGTTTCCAGAATTAGACAGTCAAAACTAGTATTATGACGTAATCAAATAATTTTTCTCAAGACTTTGTTTTCCCAACGCCATTCCGTATTAGAATTAATTAATTAAATTAATCAATTCTAATAGGTCGGGTTTAGGGCGTTATATTTATCCACCCCTTAAGAAAATTTCGTTCTCGAAATTTACCTGATCATTGGTCACTGAAGATATGTGGGTATTGGGAACGCATGGATTCTTCGGTTTTCCAAGTCGCTTCCTTGAGGAGATAGTGGAGGAGGAGGAGGCACCGTCTATACACGTCTTCCCTGATTGAGACTAATTTGGTCCTAGTCGGAGTATACTTTCTGGTCCAACTTTCTTCAAATTGAATTTCGATTGCACCGTTGCGATTAGATAATCAAACTCAATCCAACGATATAATTTTTATATTTATTTGTAATACTTTTCTGACATCATATTTTTGGGTGTTTGACTTTGACAAAGTCAAAATTGATCTAGTTGACCTTAATTCAAAAAGATTCAATTCTCACATTTAATTAATATTATTTTTCACATGATTTATTTCAATAAATAATTTCAGAGTTCACATCATAAATCATATTCTCCATTTATTCTTAATTTGGGTTTGTACTCTAGCTCCTAATTAAGATCACACATATAGTCAACATATTAGATTTATCTCTATGAGATTTATCCAGATTGTGATATTGGATATCAAAACATATTTTATCTTGGTCCAAAGCCTAACAATAACTTATTTTAATCATAATAAATTTTTTTAATTGAATAATAATTCAATAATAATTTTAGGGTGTGTTTTGGGGCGTTACAACGAACTCAGATTTCTCCACCCGCCTTATTGATCCCATCACAGGGTGTTGTAGCATCTTCCATGTCACACTCAAAAACTACAACTCTAGGAGTCTATATAAAATTAACCTCTCCTAATAAATAGATATTTATACCTAGTAAAACTCCTACAAACATATGGGATTTAGTTTTTTCAAAGATTATCTAACATCTTGGAACTAAAAGTCACACAGATGTACAAAAAACAACTTACTTCTAGGAAAGAAATGCTAAACTAGGAGTAGAACATGGAGAAAGTACTAAAATATGAGTTCAATGTTTTTATTCTTAAAATAAGAGTTACGATGTCAATATAAAATACTAAAAACACTTAAAAATATTAATATACAATGTCATATTCTCACAAGACAATAATTTTTTGGTAATTAAAGACAAAAAAATTCTTGTTTTGATATTTTCTCAATATTTTATTCCCAACAACATAATTTTTTTACATCCTAGTGTATGATATAAAGAGTCAAAGAGAAAGTTTCTCGGACACTTTTCGGCCCTAAAGGGATTGCATTTAAAAAAACAAGGGCTTCAAAAAAGGAAAATATAGAAAATAGGGGTGAGCAAGTACCGAACTGATACCGATAATTCTCGAAAAATCGAGAAAATCAAACTGAACTAATACCGCTAAAACACCGAACCGTACCGAACCAAATCGAATGTTCGGCATTTGAGAACGGTACGAGGTAATTTCACATATCGAAAACCTCGAACCGAATTTATATAGTAATATATTATAAATATAATAATCTTTTTATATTTTTTCATTAAATAATAAGTTTATTTATAAAATTTAAGGGTAATTTTCAAGGATAGTACCTGAATTTTCACGAAAGTTTTGATTTAGTACCTGAACTTCAAAACCTTTAACAAAAGTACCTAAACTTTTACCATCTTTTCACTAAAAGTCCATTTATCCATTACCGTCACCAGAAGGTCACTTTGAGCTTCCTACTAAGCTCTCATACATATTACGCTCTTCATCAATGACGACTTGATCAGAAGGAACATTTTGAGTGGCCCCTAACTCATCTTCCATTTTAACCTCAAGATTGTGGATGTCTTGGTGAATATCATCATCGACTTGTTCATTATGAATATAGCTAGAGCTGCAAGGATTTTCTAACTCTCCATGCCATTTCCATCGCAGATATGTTGGGTCAAAACCCTTGCGATACACATGTAATCTTATATCTTTAACGCTATCAACCATAAAATGGTTGTGACATGAGTTACAAGGACAATATAGCTTTTTTCCTTCTTTTGAATGTTTCTCTGCGAAACGAATAAACTCTTCCAAATTAACCAGAACTAAACTCAGGTGATGTACGCGACATATGAATCCAACTTCTATCCATCATATGAATTGCTAAGTAAGAAAGAAGGGCAAATGATTGATACATGCAAAACAATGCACAACAAAATTATTAACACGTACTCATTTTATATATACACACAAACATATAAAAAATGCAGGCAACAGAATATTTTATTTCTTTTGATGGTCCGGCAGCACTTCTTCATTATACAAATGGTCCTTCTTTACACCGTCCTAACCCATTCTTGAAATGCCACCCTCACTAGTAAATGTATTTCATTTTCTTTGACATATCAAAATTTCGGCAGCATTTCCCAATGGTTCTCCAAGTGCACGATGTAACGTAATTACATATGCACTCGAAGAACACATTTAGGAAACGTCAAACCAAAAAATGACAGAACAAAGAGAATGAAGTACACTCACTACCTAAGTGAGAGAAGCATTTCAAGAACAGCTCCAAACTAGGAGATATTTAAA